GTTAAACAATAGATTTATCTCTAGATGGCCAGTCAAGAAATTCTAAAACAAGAATGTAGAAGTAACTTATAATGACAACTAAGAATTAATTCATAAACCTCAAATAATCAACAATCCATTCGTAGTTATAGCCCCAGAACTAGGGCGTTTAGCCACTCATGCTATTAGAAAACCACAAAATACAATTGTTCATGCGATTTCCCGAAAAATAGAAGAGTTAGAAGATCAAAACCTATTACAAACGTAGATACTTGCTCTTGCACACAATATAAAAGTCGAGCCCTCACAATGGAGCCCTAAGGGTCTATTTATAATAGTTAGGAACAATAGAGTCGAATTCTACTTCAACTAGGAGTCCTTTTTAAATCAACTTTCGCCAAAACTCCGCAAAAGACTGGGGCATCGCTCCCAATTCGCACCTGGAAGGCTGGCGCGCCGCATTACCAGTGCGCTCAAATGTAGCCCCAGTGAAAAACCCCATGGCGCGTAGCGCTTGGCCTGCGCCAGTGGTGCTGGGGTGCCGCGCCTGATCTTTGCTCCTGGCGTCGCTTTTCATCTTTAACTCCTTTTTCTTCCTTGACTCAATCACTTCCCTTAGGAACCCTGCAAAATTGCTAATGATGTATGTTAGTATGCAATCATTGCAATCTTAAGCCAAAATATGCTAGTTAGATTAGTGAATGTCCTAAAACTTACGTTAAAGATGGTTAATTTGTAGTAATTGGGCATATAAATATGCCCAAGATCATTTGCCATGAAAGTATTAAGCCTAACTTGTAGCTCATCCGGATGTGAGCGAAGTTGGAGTGTGTTTGAACACGTAAGTAAAAAAATTATATCCTAATTTCCATATTATATTATTATCAATATCTATTAGTTAATATTTATAACTTATGCGCAGATTCATTCCAAAAAGAGGAATAGAGTTGCTCTATCGCGTCTCAATGATCTAGTGTACATTAAGTACAATAGAACATTGAAACGTTATTATGATGCTCGTGATCTCATTGATCCAAGTCGCTTGGATAACATTGATGATTCAAATGAATGGTTAGTTGGATTCCCCGAAGATCAAGAAGATGAACTAGTATATGAGGATGATGATCTTACTTGGGGTAGTGTTGCTACGGCAATTGGAGTTGATGAGAGTATCTATCATCTTAGGGGACTTTCTTCAAGATCAAGAGCACTTGACCAGGGCAAAGGAGTAGAAACTACATCTACAAGTTCAACTTCAAGTAGGACTCGGACACTAATTGATGAAGGCTACGAGGAGGAAGAAGATGAGGAGCAATATAATGATGTAGAGGATGTCGATCTTCAAGAGTTGGATAGTTTTGAAGAAGAATAGACTTTTAGAGTTCTAGTATTATCTTTTGAATTATTGGGTCTTTAAAGTTCTAGACTTTTAGTATCTCCGTTTAGTTTTTGAATTGAAATATTTGCTAATATATGTTATTGCTATTGAGATTTTGGATATTTATATATGCAATTAAATAGTTTTAATTTTTGGTATTAATTGGCGCCTCGATTCAAAAAGGCGGCTCACCGCGTGGCGAGGCAGGCCCTTGTCACCTTTCGCCGTCCAAAACACTGGCTATGAGGCACTGCATCCATTATTCGTCTGCCTCTGACAAAGGCTATGTGTTGTTTGTCCACCAGTTTATCCACCAGTCTCTTCAATCTTGCTGTCAGTACCTTGGAGATTTGGAGATCAGCTTGTAGAAGCTACCTATCAAACTGATTGGCCTGAAATCTTTGAGTTCCTTAGCTCCTGTCTTCATAGGAATCAAAGTAATGTAAGTCGCATTAAAGATTTTTTCAAAAATCTCACTTGAATGGAAGTTGTGAAAAGCCTCCATTATGTCTTGTTCCCATTGTAAAACCATCAGGGTCCGGTGCTTTGTCTATAGCACACAACTTCAGACACTCAAAACCTTATTGTTCCTCAAAATCTTCTTGCAAAGCCTCCTTTCCCGCTTTTGTGATGGTTGGATGATTGCTGATGTTTTCAGAGGGTCTCCAATCTTCAGTTTCTGTATACAGATTCTTGTAGAAAGATATGATCTCTTCCTTGATTCTTTTTGGCTCAGAAATAGTCTCTCCCTGTATTTCCAACTGATCAATATGGTTGTACCTCTTATGAGCATTAGCAATCTGATAGAAAAACTCAGTATTCCTATCCCCTCCTTGAGTCAAAGGGCCCTTGATCTCTATCTCCAGGCCACCTCTTCATTCTTCAAATAACCTTTATATTCTATAAACAATGTTGCTTTTCTGGCAGTTTCCTCCTTTATTAGAGTTCTGTTGTTCAAATGAGACTCTATCTCAGCCAACTGATTAAGTATATTGTTCTTCTTCAGTTTCAGATTCCCCTGTTCAAGCCTGCTCTAGTCTTTCAGCTTCCCTTTGAGTGCTTAGAGTTTACATGCTAACACATGTAACTCAAAATCTCTCCACCATTCCTTAACTCTGTCACTCATCCACCAATTTTCGAACTTAAAATATGACTTAGACTGTTCCCACTACCCACAGAAGAGTGCAATTGGCACATTGTCAGAAGTCACTCCTTGTAGGATGGTTCGCTTAAAATTGCAAAAAGGTTGTTCCATTCTGTAGATACCAATATCCTATCAATCCTAGATGCAGTGGTATGATTGTCTTCTTTGAACAAGGTATAGCTGCCACCAATTAACTGCAGGTCAATGAGTTCCATGTCCTCTATGCAATCTGAGAATTCTCTCATAGCTGAAGATCTGAGTGCGGTCCCCTTTTTTTTAGATGGGAATCTGCATACATAGAAATCACCCCAGGTGACCCATGAACTCATGCAATGTGGCAGTCAAAATTATAAACCGAGCTTAAAATTTCAGGACAGAGTGTAAGCTCCAACTTGTACTATTTCCCCTTCCCAAATTTCATAGTAGTAGAATTCCTCCTCTAGTTCCACTAGCCCTTAAAATGTCATAGTAATAGATCCATCTTCTTGCCCAATTTTTTTTTTTTATAAGTTCCTGAACATTCCCTTCTAGTTTAGTTTCTTGGAGGGCAGACTACGTTTGGATAAAGGTTATAAAAAGTAACTTATAAGTCAAAAGCGAAAAGCCATAAGTAGGGGATACCCTACCTTTGGCTTATTTTAAAACCTTTTTGGGCCTAAAGTTGAGTGCTTAAAAGCACTTTTTAACTTTTCCAAACACCTCCAAAACTAAAAAAAAATAGTGCTTACCTAAAAGTAAGCTTAATCCAAACTCCCCCTATGTCTGCTTATAAATCCTGCATCAAACTCTGTACTATTCTCCTTTTCCCTGTTTCTTCAACCCCCTTGTGAGAAATATAGGAGAAAAATCCTATTGAATTGTGTATCTACATTATTACATTGAGACACTATAATAAAATCCTTTTCCAAGTATGATTCAATATACTATGTTCCTACCTTCCTATTCCTATTCTAATACTCCCCCTAAAGCTGGTGCATACAAGTCATATGTACCTATTTGTTGGGTGCTTGCCATGATTGGGTTTTCCTTTTCCTAAAAGAGAAAGAAAAACACAAATTCTCATATTTGGCCTCCGTCGCCAACCATCCACCATAAAGCTCGCAGATCTCATGGAAGGTCTCATCCGGCCATAAATGCATTGGCAAAACCCGAATCCAAGTGGATTTGGGCTTGTCTGTAGCTGGTTCACTGCCTGCATATGGGTTCCACCGCACTAATTTTATTTTGCTTCTCTTCCTTATCCATTCTCCCAGGAGGACCTGTTCCACCATGTATTGGGGAACTCGAAGAGAAAGTAGCCATCCAGCATCTCGTATGTATTGATTCCAAAATCCTTCTTCCACACTGTTGAAGGCCAACGTCTAAACATCAGACAAAGTAGGATTTTCAGCTTTGTTCTTGCCAAAAGACCCAAATATGCACCTTCTAAGCAAACCTTGTTCTCTGCTTTCGACAATTTCGTCTGTTTCAGTCATTTCCCCTTAGATGTGGATGCCTCAGAATTGCTGCTCTGCCATTTACTGTCCGCAACCACCTTTGCAAAAGGCACATTTATGTCATTTGTCCTGGATCTTCATCACCTTCGGTGGAGTGCATTTAATGATTACTGATCTGTCCTCTCCCTTAAATGATAAAATGCTCATGTATCTCCGATGAGCATTATATTACCTAGTACCAAAAACTCTGCCACCTGGTCCTTATATCTCCATCTTCTCACCAGATATTTTTGGTCAGTTGAAGCTTCTCTGAGAATGAAGCAAATTCATTCCAACACCTTCTCGCTAAGTGTGACCCTCCTCATCATGTTCCTGTGTCTTTCCACCCAATTGTACCAAGATACATTGTTAGAAGTCCATCTGGTAATGTCGTAAGATTTGAACCCCTTGGTTGAGCTACAACTGAAGGTGATAGCTCCTGAGTAATGAAGAAAGTGGTAGTTCCCGACAACAACAACATACCCAGTGGAATCCCACTACGTGGGGTCTGGGGAGAGTAGATTGTACGCAGACCTTACCACTACCTCGTGGAGGTAGAGAGGCTGTTTCCGGAGGACCCTCAGCTCATAGTTCCCGACAAGACTACCGGAAAGAAAGGGTATTTCTCCCTCCTAGGAAGTAGGAGAGAGAATTTTTTGGAAACTGTGCCTGGGAGTATTTTTACCTTTGGATTATCTTTTAGTTCAAAAGACCTTTTGGTTCTGGAACATGGAGGAGTGTGTTATTCTAGACCTCCACTCTCAAAAAATAGGGACATCAGATGCGTTAGGAAACATTCCTACCTTTTTATCAATGGTCAGTGTATGTTTTTTCAGCATTATCTAACTTTGGTAAATGTTAAAAGAATCAATTCAGTCTAGTTATAAGATATGTTCACATCTTAGAGAGAGTGAGCTAGGAAAATTGTTATAAGCTAAGAGGAAGCTCTTGCAGTATATGTGCACACTTTGACATCTTTTGCACTGATTAATAAGTTTTCTTATTAATATCTTTCTACTGGCAGATAGGTAGATATTTTGGGCCCGAGTTTCTTCTGAAGCTGTATCTATCTGGAGCAGTTGCGGGCTCAGTTTTTTACTTGGTATATCATGCCTTTATAGTTCCATCACTACAGGTAATCTTGGATCAGCAATCTTATAATATCTATTTGATAAAAAAATGTATCATGAAGTTTGATAAAAGAATATTGTACTTTCACCTGTTTATATAACCTGCCCACTAAATGATGACCAAGTCCTCTGTCCAATTGATATATGCAAAATTCATGATGAATACATTAAAGAGTTGATGCTTTCTGCTCTTTTTTTTTTTTTTTTGAAACATGGAAAGCTCAACAAGGTGAAGTGTGAAATCTCAATTATTTAGCCTATTAATGGTTCGGAAGAATATAGGAATTGCAGTGATGTTAAAAAGCTACAAAAAGTATGATTAAGTATGGTTCTGGGATAATTAAGGTCTACTGTAAAGTAGTTATTGTGGTACTTGAGTATGTGCTTGTAGTATACTTATAGATTGCTTTTGTTTTTCAGTTGGCTTGCTTGTCAGTTATGTTTTTCGATTTACTGCACTTCCTCAGTAGTGCATGAGTTTTTTGTCCTGATGAGTGGACATTTATTTATTTTTCAGAAAACAATAACATACCAATATAGTGTAGCATTTGGGGAGGGTGGGGTGCCTACCTTTGTGAGGTTGAGTCTATTTCCGATAGACCTGCAGCTTTTCAGAATATGGTTTGAAAGAAATGCAAGAGTAAAAAAACTATGAGGAAGATATTGAAAAAGGAAAGGTACAGACTCTAAACATTATTAGAGATAGCCAAAGTAAATTAAACAACAGTAGTAAAAAATCGAAGAATAAGATAATGCTAACAACAACAACAACAGCAACAACATACCCAATGAAATCCCACAAGTGAGGTCTGGGTAGGGTAGAATGTACGCAGACCTTACCACTACCTTGTGGAGGTAGAGAGGTTGTTTTTGAAAGACCCTCGGCTCAAGTGCAACAAGATGTCTACAAACTTGTTACCTTTTGTCAAAAAAAAAGAAGTGCAACAAACCCAAGTAAAAGAAGAAGAAAACATAGCAGTTAATAAGAAAAGCAGTGTAAAATGAAGTGGATAGAAGACATTTAATATGGCATCGAAGGAACAAAGAATATCGGTCAGGAGGGGAAAATGAGAGGTCATTTTGCAGAGTTCTTCTGCACTCTTAAATACAATAAATATGGAAAGGTACATTAGCTTAGCTATAGAAGAGGGAAATAGATCTGTCATTATCACCGGAGGTTACATTGGAGGCCAGTTTGGGGAGACAGCTCAAAAAATGGCATGACTCATAAACGTCCCAGAAATGGAGAAGCAAACACCATCTGCCAGAAGCCCAAAGCCTAAAGCCTTTTACATTGAAACCATCAGAAGCAATAAACGGTCGACAATCTCTCCAACCAAAGATAAAAGCTCAAGTGTCATCATCCAAGGTGGCTCAGAAGTTTCGGAGGAAGATGTGCTGCAAAGATGCATTATTTGTAAATTTCAAGTCCCCCTTGCAGTAAACACCTACATTAAATGGATATCCAGTGATGGGTTTGCAGTGTATGGAATTCTTCACAGGCAATTTATACAAAATGAATGATTTTTCATTCCTGTTTGAACCTCCATCCAGAAAGGAGGCAGAGCATATGCTCACACGTGTTTAGCTATGGAAGATATTTCAATTTACATTAGATTGGTGGACTCCTATCACCAGGTGCTGGCTAGAATAAGCAACACGAAGCTGAGTATGGATAGTAGATAAGAGCAACTCAATGCAGAAGATAAAACTCAATTGTATTTTGTGTAAACAGGAGTACATAGATGATACTGAGTCTCCATTAGATGTTCTAGACTCTAGAGTCTCTCTGTAAGGAAGTAAGTACATTTTGTAGTTTATACCATTTTGGTCCTTACATTTTGTAAATATGGCACACTGAACCTTTTGTGTTTTTAGTATAAAGCTTGTTACCATCGCAAAAAAAATTAAAAAAATTAAAGTGGCCTGCACTGCATGATTTAAGTTGGTCACTTAAATTCATAATTTCATTTTGATGAAGCAATTACTTAAATTCATAATTACTCCCTTTTGTTCCAGTTATGTGTCACTTTTCATGGTTATTTTTTTTTTGAAACTGGTAATGTTCACTTTTCATGGTTACACATCCTAAAATGCTTTACAGACCTCGATGATAGTATTATCTTACACAAGTTAAAAAAAAAAAATTAAGATCGAAATTACATTTTGATGTCATGGTCTCACTCTCTAATTTTACAACTAATATTTTAATATTTTCCTTCATTAGCACCAATAAAATATGCAAATCAAATTGACCTAAGGTGACCATTGTGACCGCAAATGACATGAAGGAAGTATTATGTCTCTCACTGTAGAAGTAGTTACTGACTGTCTCTATTCTTGGGCAGACACAAAGAAGACAAGTTCTGAGCATGCATCCATCACAAACTCCTGGATTGGTAAATTCATGTCTTACTTCTTCTTGATCTCTGATAGTTCTTCGATGTTACCGTACTAACAATTTTATGGGACTCCAAAGGATCTAAAATGAGATTGTCATTTTCTCTCATTTATATTTAAGAAGATAATCATTTTTTTAGGCGGAGTACTTTGTTGTCTTCAAATTCAGTAGCTAAGCCTCTCTTTTTACATGACTTGATAGTGTTTTCCTTGGTATTTGGACTACTACATCATGTCTCAGAAAAAAATGTTGGAGTAGTTCCATAGAGTATTACTGCTCCAATTTTACCAACACTTCGTCTTGATCTTTGTAGCTAGTGAACTTAATTTTGGAAGATTATCACTATTAAATCGTGGATGCCTAAAAATTGGCATAATTTTCATTTTAGCCAGCCCCTGTATCTGATTGTTATAACTCCTACCCAAACTCAAAACCAATGTTATTTTTCTTAGGTCTTGTTCTACAGATTGCTATTTTGAATCCCTAATCTGCTCAGTGTGTGGGAACTAGCAAATAATTCAAGCTTCTAAAGAAAATGGTTCTTGGTTTGGTTTCTCATCCTTTGCATGGAGTAGATTACTGTCAAAACTACTCTTTGATTTCTGGAATCCTTGAAACTTCTAATTGAATTGTTAATGGATGAAGTTTGACCTTTTCCTTCATGAAAAGTTAACAAGTTTGTCATCTTTACATTTTGCGTTGACTTCTGTGTGCTTTTCCATTTAGGGTGCAAGTGGGGCTGTAAATGCTGTGATGCTGCTTGATATATTCCTGTTCCCTACAAAGATTATCTATTTTAACTTTGTGATTCCTGTCCCAGCAATCTTACTGGTCAGTACTTGCGTATTTCTTAACCAAAATCATTTTTTGGTACTTTTCTAGATGATAGTTGCCACAGGTAAAATTGGCTAATATTTTCTACGCGACTGGTCATTATTTCATTTCAGGGGATCTTCATCATTGGAAAAGACGTCGTAAGAATATTGGAGGTGTGATCTTCTAGCACTTCACCCTCTTTTGTTGTTCAGTTTGTTAACCTTATCATGAAATGAAGTCATCAATGACTAGTATGCGCTGAAATCAATACTTCCTTCCATGTATCAGGAAGAGAAGCTGTTTTAGGCTACTATTTGGGGTCAGATTTGTGTTAGGGGTTGCAGTTATTGAGGCTCAGTTGCTAGCGAAAATAAAACCAAAATGTCTTCTCTTAGTAAAGTTCACTTGTTCTCTTCTACACGCCTTCCATTCTAGATTCTCCACTACTCAATTTGCCTGATTAGAATTTTTAGCGAGTAATGGGTGTAAATGGTCAAACGACTTCTCCAAGCCCAAACTCACGTTGTTCCTGTATGTTGGTTAAGGAAATAAACTAATAAGATGAGATACCACAACACTACACTAAGATCCGTCTCACATGCCAGCTTGAGATCTTAGCTTTCAGCCATGAAGATGTAGGTGCTCCAGTCCTATCATTGGAATTTGGAGCATTTATTCTGCTCATTTTACCCTACTATCTTGCTGCAAAATAGGTGTTCACATTCGTAATGACTCATTTGATATGTATAACAACTTCCTTTCTTCTCAACTTCAGGGTGACACTCAAGTATCTGGATCTGCTCATTTGGGTGGGGCTGCCATGGCCGCCATTGCATGGGCTCGAGTAAGAAGGGGAAGATTCTGAAGTCTCATTTCCTTGAAACTCCAATTCGGCTGATATAAGCTAGGATGTACCAAATTGCATTATTGCTTTTATGTATAAATTATAGCCCTAGCTCCTTCCCCCACTTGAATTTTTGCCTTCTAGGGTGAAGTACCAAGAAAATGCCCCTTTTAAATAACAGCAATAGTCAGATTCTACATTCATGGATATTACTTAACTCAATTTGTAGTCTGATACTATGATGCTTCTAACCAAATCAGTGATGAGGATTCTAATACTTGAGAGTTGCAATCTATATTGATTATCATTTAACCATAATTAAGTGGTAATACAAGTAGTCACACTTTATAACTCTTTTTCTCAAACGGATGAACATTTTTCCACTTAACCTTCATGTTGTGCCATAAAAGTCCTAAACCACCAAAAAGGATTGTGGTGGAGTGGTAAGCACTCACTCATCTCTTTTTCTTTTATATTTTGTCCCAAACAAAAGCGATATTGCAAAAGTCTTTTACTTCAAATGCTCCTTTCCTTGGTTTCAACGATAAGCAAATATAAATGGATAAATGTTGTAAACTTAAAGCAAAATAAGACGAGAAATATAGAAGATGAAAGCAATAGAAATAGAGAGATAAGAGATTAGAGTTTTTTTCCTTATTCTTCCAAGTATTCAAGTATTTACAATACGAATTGTTATGCCTCTATTTATAGTGTTACATAGAGGCATGCCAAGGGTTAGTCATAAACATGACATTAATCATGAAAATAATGGAGGAGGTTATGGAGGTGTAAGATTACAAGAATGATGATCATAAAAGTGGAGGTTATCTACATAATCGAGGGAAGTAATGGAGACAATTAGTGATAGTAACTTTTTTGTGTTGTGGACATCCACACCATAATATTTTATAACGATAAAATTATTTTCATGTGGATAAATGTTACTCTCTCCATCCAAAATTTAATTTTGAAATTTCCTTTTTAACCTTAGTAAAAGAGAAAAGGATATGCTCCTCAACTTTGCAATTTAGAGTTGATATATTTGGTGATATAAAAGTGACTCACATATACGTTTATCATTATACAAATGATCTAGATATATCATTTTCGCCTAATGAAAGTAGAAAAAAAAATTATTTTTTCATTTTTTATTAAAAAATTATCTATGTAGGGGTATATTTGATCCTTCTAGTAAAGTTCAAGCAATAAATTGATCTTTTTCACGCGTGAATTTTTTTGTTTACTTCTTTGATTCAATGACTAATTTAGTTATAAGTATCCCTTATATATCCATTTGCTTATCATTATATGTGTTTCTTATTCTTATTTCATTCTTTAGTGCAAAAATTTTAAAAATAAAAAGAAGGGGAAAATGACAAATATATCCCCGAACTATCGAAAATGGTACACATATACCCTCGTTATACTATTGAGACACCAGAGTCTTTGCCGTCCAAAAAGTGGAGCATTTGTATTCTTCACACTAACAGACGGACACAGGTCCTAATCATGTGCATCTACCCAATCTATCTATATATAATAAAAAAGTTGAATATGAACACAGTGATGTGGTGCTATCTAAGGGCTTCAATCCTATTTATCCCTTTTTGTGATTTATTTTTGGCATTTTTCTAATTTTAAAATACAAAAAAAAAAAAAAAAAGTTACCTAAAAGTTTAAAGAACATTAAAGATATTCATATTTAATTATATCTCCATCAATAGTCATATTTAATTTATTTTGTCATTAATGTTATTATTCTCTTTTCCTATAATATTTCTCAATTTTCATCAATTATTGCAAACCTTTTCATTTGATTTTTAAAAAGAATTCCAACAAATTATTCACGATAGTTAAATTTTATGGTTTTTATTTATTTTTTTATAGTCTTTTCCTTTTTTTAAAAAAAAAATTTACTTATTTTTTATTTATTCAATTCAAGAAATTTATAACCTTATATAATATAAATATATTCTTTTATCTTCTTTATTTGTGTTTTTTCTTTTTTTATTTAATTTTTAAGTTTCAACTCTATAACTTAAATCTATTACACTTCTATTCTTAATAATATCATTAAATTCATGACTTTTAAGTTTTCATATTCATAACCTCCAACTATTAAATTATAAAATTTAAGATACTTTATGATATCTCTCCATTTCTATCAATATAAATTCACAAGTTTTTGTTTCATGAAATCCCAACTCAAATTTATTCTTTACATTTCATTGTTCTTTGTAGTAATATTATATTATCAAAATCATGCTTTAGTTTGACATGATGAAAAAGACTTTTGAATATTGATTAGTTTGTCAAAGAGAGTATCGAACAAGAGCTCAAAAAATTGGGCACTGATTCTAAATTCTTATTTTTTTTAAATCTATTTTCTTATAATAAGGCCCCAAGGAAGATGTGTGTGTTTGTGTTTTCTCCTTATAACTTCTTAGTTTGATTTTTTATAATTTTTTTAATTATTGCAAGGTTTATTTTTGCTTAGATGTAAATTAGTTATTATTACTTTGTGTGCAATAATACTAACTAATAACAAAGGTTTTAAAAATACTATTGCACAAAGAACTATTTATATTTTCTTTAAATATTCCTCTATTTTTATCTATATGAATTCATAATGTTTTTCTTTTATTAAACTCTGCTCGAGATTATCCTTTTTATTTCATATTTGAAGTTGTGTTTTCCTTAATTCTTCTTAAGGAATTAAGGAAGTACAATTCAATTTCATTTTATTATGTACTCTTCAATTTCATGATATTCACCTTCTCGTAGTATGTCAACTTTCTTTTAGTTTGGAATGGAGCTATAAAGTAAGATACTTTTACTAAATTATTTTTAATATATATCTTGAAAACAATATAATTCTTTAACCCAATTTAATTAAATAAGGGCAAAAATGAAAAAAGAAACATCATTAAAGTTTTTCTGATTATGTAAATTACAATTTATTTTGAAACAAAATAAAAAATATGTTTATTTTGAAATAAAAGGAGCATGTAATATAAGAAAGTGAAAAAAGTATATAAAAAGTTTTAAAAAGGTCTTTATTATCTGTGAAGTGACCAAAATTATTGTAACATTTTTATTATTCAAATGTTGCCTTCATATCTATAAAGATATAATTAGCTAGACAATCTAATTGTACTTAGCAATTTAAATTTAACATAATTTACATATGTTCATTTTTACGTTTTAGACATTACAATTTTCATATTTTATCAAATTATTTTATACATCTTACAATTTAATTCATATTATTACCGGTTGAATTTCGTTCTTTTTTTTAATTATTATTTTCACATTATAAACTTAGGTTGTTAAGTATCTTTTTAAGTATAAGTGAAGAAAAAAAAATTAAAAAAGTATAAAATTGGTTAGAACAATAAGATGAATTCAAATTTGAATTTTGATCTATTTAATTGGATTTGTACTTAAAAACTCTTTCATATTCAAATAATATGAAAAGATAAATGTATACCTTTGATGTAACATTTTATGACCACGCGTAAAGCTGCAAATTACCAAGTATTTATTTAAAACTAAGAAAAAACCCACCCCTTTACTATTTTCAACCCATCCGACCCACAATCAAAATAAAATAATCATTCATTTTTGTTGGTTATGTAATATAATAAAAAGAGACAAGTAAAAAGTCAAAAATGAACAAATAAAAAGAAATAGAGATATAAAAAAAAAATTAAAAAAGGGATAGTGAGAGTACTAATTAAATAAACAGTAAATCGGTGACAAATGGTGTAATTGCTCTTTTCTACTTCACATTTTGGTTAAGAAAAGAATTTACTTAAATAAACAAATTCCTAATACTAGGATAACTAAATAATTTGACTAAGAAAAGTTTTATAGTCAAATATTTTTATATTCTGAATCATAAACAATAGTAGAATACTTTATTAATAGTTTTATCAATGAAATTAAAGGTCCTATAAAACTCTAATATATAAATAAAAAATGAGACTGTCATATATAAATATTATTAAAAAACCCAGCCCCCGGCGAGGATCGAACTCGCGGCCTTTCGCTTACGAAGCGAACGCAATACCACTATGCTACGGAGGCCTCTTCGTTAATTAATTTCGTCATCATTAATTCTTCTTGTATACTAGGACTACATAGAAGCACGCCCCAACTAGGACTACCTAGAAGCACGCCCCAACATGGGCACAACAAGAAAATTTTATTGGACAAATGATACAAATTCCACTAGTTTAGGAGTAAATTACTTCCCTTCATGTGAATTTTCAATAATACGAGTCTTACCTGAATTTGGCATTCTAATACATGTATCTAGCGTGCGCATCTAGATACATGTATCTTGGATACATGGTGTCAAAGTTAGGTGTAATATATTCGAGATATATTATATCTAAGTGGATTCACATGTATCTGGCTCTCTCACTCGCCTCTCTCTTATTTCTCTCACTCTCTCCTTCTCTCGCTAGCCTTTCTCTCTATTTCAGTATATCTAGTAGCAAAAATACATGTATCGAGGTGTATCTGACTTGAAATCTGGTATGAGATTATTAATCAATAAGACAATATTTATTTATTTCAAACTATAGGGAGAATTAGTAAATATGGTGGGAATGTTTGTGTAGTTAGGTAGTTTTCCCAATTTTATTTCATATATAATCAAGGGGAAAAAGGCTTGTTATACCCTTAAACTTTGAGATTTATAGTTGATATACCTTCATTACGAAACTGGTTCATATATACTTGTACCGTTACCAAAGTCATTCATATATACCCCTATCATTCCAAAAGTTTCTTACATATTGTCATGCCCCAAGCCTACACCCTGGACGTGACCGGCACTCGAGAACCATTACTGGTCCCCAAGCGAACTCTTGGCCTGACTCATTACTCGGTGGAAGACTTACTCATCAATATAGAAACTCAATGCGAACTCAACTCATAAGGTCCCATAAGTAAAGTAGTTTGAATAAAAAATACTCAAATGAACATAAGTGTTCAACTCAAAGTCTTTAAAATATCATCAAGGGAAATGAGAAAAAGACTCCTCAACTACGCTGTTTATGAAGCCTCTAAATACTAAACTATGATGGAAGCCGGACAAGACCCACGACATTCTAATAGAGCAAAAACCATAATGTGATCCCCTTCGAAAAGCAAGGATGCTCACCAAAGCTAGCTGGAACTG